CCATCCTGTATCCTCATACTGTTACCGCTACTACTTGGTCTCTGTGTGTGCCTGTATATTTTACAACATTCCTTTCGCTCGTCTTTTTGGCCTCCATCGCTATCATGGCGGCTTCAATGATATTGTAAGCATTCACAAAGCTTAAGATCTGTGTAGATGTGGCCTCTAATTGCAGCCTAACAGAATTCGCGGGATTTGATGGGTTGGAGATTGGCAATGAGCATGGTTGCGTATGGCATACATAACCCCTTGCACTGCAGCTGCTTCGTAAATTAAGTTAAAGAATACTTAAATTTTGAAAGCTCGAATACGCAACCAGGTATGCGGTTTTGAATGCTTAACCTAAAAATTTCAGCGATATTTGAAGGGCAATGGCCATCATCCAAAGCATTCCAATTCTGTTGTCGATCCCATCATCTGAGTACCTATGCATTACACGGCTAATGATTTGAGCATAATCATTTTTAAGGTTAGGGCTAATTGCTAGTTCGTTTATTCTAATAAGGGCGAAGAGTTTAATCCAATTCTAATATTGACTCTTGATGCGGTAAAATTGATCAGAGTCTAGATGAACGAAACGGGATCGGAATAGGGGAATGCAAAGGGTGGAACTGGTGATGAGTGCGGTGAAAATATGTGACAAAGGAGCAATCAAGCGCGCAAGTACCATTGACGGATTGTGAAATTCCCATTTCAAAATGTTGGAAGTTGCAGAAGCTTTCATTGTGGTCTTCTATCCTTCCTCTCCTCCAGTCACTTGCCAGTAGTATGAAATGTCCTGAAGAGGGATTACCATCAGATGAAATTTACAGCGACGATAAAAGGTAATGGGAAAAGTCCGACTTGCTCACATTCTGCGCTAAGATCGATTTGAGATAGTTTCTCAAAAATATGAATTGAAAACGGTTTATACTTGGCAAATGAAGCACAAAAGCAGATTGATTGGAATCGAATTCCATAAATGCATTCAACTGTGGGGAGTAGCAGATGGAATTTGAAGCAACACTTGTCAAGCTTACCAAGGAATGGCATTAGTATCCGCGAAGTACCAGAACGGCTTCTGGTAGTTAATTACATTGCACTTCACTCAACCCCACTTAGCCTTCTTTTGTATCAATTAAGCAGCAGAAATGTTTGTTTCATTCTAATACATCACCAAACAGGTATTTTAAATTTTCTTGATTCTGCCTCTTGATCGTGTAAGTGTGCACAGATTCACTTCCTTTTCCTAGATTATCAACATTTCTTTGCACATTTTTCGGGCACACTACTCACAAACCACAAGTAGCATAACAGCCTTGCAAGATGGAAAACGTCAAAATTAAATTCACTGCATTTGGGGCAGATACGCACTAACTTTGCTCATTTTTATCTGCTTAAACGGTTTAGTGTGTTGATTTTTACATGAAATACACCTAAAGTGCGTGTGAGCATGTGAGGAATACAAGATTGGATACATGACAGACAACTGACAGGTTACTGCATGTTGGTACTTTTAGCTGCTGGGCTCAGACTCGCTTTTTTTCCCTATTTGAGAGCCGTAGCTCTGGTTGGATTTATGTCATAGTGAAAAGATCAGCGTGCAGATTCACCCTGAACGACATATCTAGGGCAGGAATTTCGCGTGCAACGACTGTTCTGTCGTCTCTCTTCTGATTCGCCATTTAACTAGAAGAAATTAAGTTCTACTTTCACAACGAGACATGC